GTGTCACCGACCGCCCCCCGCTCAGCCCCGGGCTCCCGGCCCGGCCGCGGTGTCACCGACCGCCCCTTCTCCCCCCGCCGGGAGTAACAGCGCTGCTGCGAACGGGCCGCTTTGAAGATCGTGATCTTCCCTTAGAATACCCTCACCGGCGGGGTTCTCAACTTTCCCTTCACCACGGACCTCCCTTAAATGAGTTTTTAAAATTATCTAAAGTCTTGGGACCACCGAGACTTAATTCAAGACTTAAAGCTCTAGACTGCATCAAATATTTACTTCAATTTTCTCACGAAGGATCTTCAAATTTGGAGAGAAGGAGAAACGTCAGTCTGTCAATGCACGCGCTCCTATGACAGTATCTTTATTGCAATCATTCCACATGAATTTAAAATAATAGCATCAACACTCTTTTTGATCAAATGGCCCATTTTATGGTATTTGACCGTGCTAATTCCAAATTTGATGCCAATTTTTACATTAAAATTTGATGAAAAGTTTTTACAATTCTTCTCACTTTCCCCCTTGTTTGTGCGTGTTCAGTCACTATATATTTTTGTTCACAGGTCCGGGGGCCACCACTTAGAGGAACAGACTTCAGCCTCATGGCAGCCCTAAAGAGGGCCGCTGAGTTAAGAAAATGTCTTCAAGAGAAAAATTGCTTTGTTAAAGTAGGTCCCACCAACCATGCTAGCACCGAATATACTGTTGTGTCAGGACAGACGTGGAGAGGGGGGCTTGAGTATGAGAGGAGCATTGAGGGGAGGGGGCTGTGGGAGAAGGAGATGCAGCGCTTGCTGCAGGCCAGACCAAATGTGTCCGGGATGGACGTTCCCCACCCCTGCTTTAAGCCTTCGTGCACCCCTGTGATGACATCGCATCCCCCCAGGGGTCTGCGGACCACAGGTTGAGAACCACTGCTCTAACTGATTTTCAGCATATCTGTAAATAAAAAGCCGTGCCCTTGGTTAATATTTCACACCAGAGTGTCATTCTGAAATGCTGTTGCATACAATGCCAAGCCTACCTCCTGCTGTGGTTACAGAGGCTGGAAGGATGGCTTTGTGGGGAATGAAGCACCGACAAGGAGAAAGATCCCAACAAAAGGAGCTGAAAAGCCCAGGAAAATGAGCCAAGTACGAGAGATCTTTGCCTGCTGGTGCCAGCAAATGCAGGTGGGATGAGCAGGACAAATCAGGCAGGACTGCCTCAGAGAGGCACAAAGTACTGCAGCTCCTGCAGGAACAAATTAGGGCAGTTTCAGTGTGTGTTTGTCAGGTATTGGAATGAGGCAGTCGCAGCCAAAGAGGAGAGAAGTTGTTTGGCACTGCTGGCCTGGCAGGGCAGGACCATAATAAAACAGCCAGCAGGAGCGTGCAGGCAAGCTGGGAGCTGAACACAGAGCGCGTTACATCAGGCAGCGTCTCCTCTGCAGGCCTCTCGCTACAGCTGGAGCTTGGAAAAATGAGGAAGTGACTAATCCTCCTGGATTTTCTAGTACACCAGGCACTGAAATGCCTGATCGTGGAAGGAGCTGTAAAAGGGAGCTTAGCTTTGCCATCCTTTGCAAAGGGAAACTCAAGCCGAACCCCAACCTGTGGGAGGAGGAGTAGGAAAAGCCAGGAGAAATGAAATAGGAAAAGCTCCAGAAGAAAGCAGTGACAGGGAAGGGAAAAGTGGAACAGGAGAAAGTTGGAAGCAAGCAGCGACAATGTTCTGTTGAGTTTGGCAGTGGCAGCTGCAAGATTTCTTAACACTACAGCTGTCATCATGCAGAGGTTTCTAACGGCTGCAAGGAAGTGTGTATAAGAGGTGCCGTGAAAGAGCATTTGGGAAAAACCAGCATCCGTACTAGCTATTTTCATGCTTGCAACAGCTCTCAGGTCCATGTGGGAACACACTTGTGTTCTTAGTGGCACACGATAATCACAAGATCCGTTGTGCACAACTGTAGCACCTGGTGTGAAAAGGTTGACACTGCAGCCACGTCTCTGCTCAGTTGCATATTGTCCCAATATTCCTAACACTCATTTTGTTCCTGGAAGGTCTTTAGCAGTCCTCGAGGATTAAATTTTAATGTAATTAAACACAAAACACAAATTAACTGATGAGTATGTGTTGATATATTTTCAGTCATAGGTTGACAACCACAATTGAAAAAGGAGGGTTCTTTTTATGTAACAAACTATAATCTTCTCAGAGGAGCTAAATGATTTCAGATCTCACAACTGCTGAAGCTGCCCGGCCCGTGAAAGGGCCAAATATATTTCCAGTATTTTTTCAAAACAACACAAATAATTTAAATGTACATGAAATGCTTTTTCCTAAAGTCCTTTACTTGGGACACCCCCAGACAGACAATCTTGAACAAAGGGAGATGCTGGTGTTGCCATGGAGAAGGGGTTGGAAAAGCACAAGTGTCCAAGGCCACTGTATTTTGTTTAATTCCTGTAGGTACCCAAAAGAGCCTGGGGTTGTCACATCCTGGAGAGATAGAGAGGCTGTGGGGAAGAATGTCTATGTCAACAGCTTGAAGAGGAAAAGTAGTGAGTAGAGAGTGATTCTGGCTGAGGCACTGCTTAACCTGCTGGTTCACAGAGAAGGAAGGGCAGAGCTCTTCCCTGAGCATGCTGAGGTACCAGCCCTGTGTGTCTGTCCCAGCTGTGCTCACCCTCTGTGCTTCAGGGCTCTGCACTGGCTGTGTGATGGACCCTGGTTACATGTCACACCAATCTTTGAAGGCTACTGCTTGCCCTGTGGTATCCTCTGGCTTCACCTGCATGTCTGTGATCTGACAGAGCGCCTAACATGAATCCTGAAAGAAAAGGGCACTTCACAAGCCACCACATCTGAGGGGCTGCTTGTACAAGGTATAAAAGAAAAGTTTGTTATATGTGCCTGAGCCTCGAGGAAGAGATGACTAAGAATCGCAGTGAGGTGAAAAAAACTCACCACCTTCCTGGTGGCCATGAAATTATGGTTCAGAATCAAAGGTTTTGTTGTCCTGAAACCCTCTTTCACCCTCCTAATGTTGGCATAGTCACCAGATTGACAAGCTCTGTTCCATTCCTATCATGAATGAATCATCATTGTGATGTTGGCATAAGGATTTACTTCCACTCCTTCTGGTAGTTTTAGCCTCTTCCCTGGAATTAAGCTGAATGCTTAAACAAGGGGACAGTCTGCATGGTCCCAGGTGGTGTTAAGGTGAAAGTCAGTGCTTCTCCTAACAAGTTTCCAGTCTGGACAGAAGGGTCTTCACTTCCCTGAGTGCCCTTCAGCCACTGCACATTACCATGACAGAGTACAGGGAGGCTGAGCCTAACACGGTGCACAGAAAATGTTTCTAAAAGACATGTGATTTCATAACAGATTTTACTTAACACTTCATGGAAAAGAACCTTAGATTACAGCTACCTGGGATCTAGTGTCTAAGGGGCAGTCTGTCTGTGTCTGTAGCATGCCTTTTGAAAGTCCAATAAAAATCATAACGTCTGGCACAGCTACTTCCTTCTTAGTCCACGAATACATCTTTCTGAATAGGTGTAAAATGTTTAAGAGGTTCTTTACCAGAACAATGCTGTAGATTATATGTAAAACTACAGTTAGAACGACTGAGAGCTCTACGCTGTGCTTCATATTCCGTTGTGCCTGCAAAGCCGCACGGCCTTTAAACGCCTCGCTTTTCCGTGGAAACCTCGGGGTCAAAAAGCAAACACATAAAAACCGTTCTGAAGGAATGTGATGCAGCAGAGGCGAGGCAGCCGGCGGCCGAGGCGAGCAGGTACCCCAATACGCCTTGCACCCAGAGAGGTCACGGAGGAGATGAGCACCCGCGAGAGCACAGGGGCTGGCGCAGCCCGGCCTGGGGGGAGCAGGGGCACTTTCTGGGCCCAGCTCCTCACCCAGGGGTCCTCGACTGAGACCAGGGCAGGGCCTGAACGCGGGGCCGGGCCCTAAGTCCAAGTGGCGGCCCTAACCGCCACGCAGCATCCCCCAGATCCCGACTGCAAGGCCGAGGCCCGGCTCTGGGTCCACGATCCGGGCCCGGGCCCCCAGGCCCCGCCCCTCCCGCAGAC